GCGATGCATGCTGTATAGCATGGATGAACCTTGAAACATGCTAAGTGAAAGAATCAGATACAAAGACCATATTATATGATTCTATATGCAAAAATCTCCCAGTGAGCAAATCCATTGAGGCAAAAGTATATTGAGTGCTTGCCAGTATGGCTGGGAGGACGGGAGGGAGAAGTAGCTGATAAAGGAAATAGGCTCTTTTTGGAGTAATGTTTTGAAATCAGTGGTGATGTTTGCATACCTGTGCCCATACAGAAAACTTCTGAACTGTATACTATTATTTTTTTTGATATGGGGGTCTCACCCTTTCACCCAGGCTGGAGTGCAGTGGCACAATCTTGGCTTACTGCAGACTCCGCCTCCTGGGCTCAAGTGATCCTCCCTCAGTCTCTCCCAGTAGTTAGGACTACAGGCGTGAGCCACCGTGCCTGAATAGTTTTATATTTTTATTAAAATAGGTGTTGTTATCTGCATTGCAGGCAGGCTCAATTTATGACCTCAAGTGATCTCCATTTGCTCCCAAGTACTACAGGATTATAGGCCACGCCCAGCCTGTTTTTGAGACAGAATAAGCTCTGTGCCCAGGCTGGAAATACAGTGGCCGGATCTCAGCTAGCTGCAAGCTCCGCCTCCCGGGTTTACGCCCATTCTCCTGCCTCAGCCTCCCGAGTAGCTGGGACTACAGGCGCTCGCCTCGCCCAGCTAGTTTTTATTTTATTTTTTGAGACGAAGTCCCGTTCTGTCTCCCAGGCTGGACTGCAGTGGCCGGATCTCAGCTCACTGCAAGCTCCAGCTCCTGGGTTCACGCCATTCTCCTGCCTCAGCCTCCCGAGTAGCTGGGACTGCAGGTGCCCGCCACTCGCCCGGCTAGTTTTTGTATTTTGTAGTAGAGACGGGGTTTCACCATGTTAGCCAGGATGGTCTCGATCTCCTGACCTCGTGATCTGCCCATCTCGGCCTCCCAAGTGCTGGGATTACGGACTTGAGCCACCTTTTGGCCGTTTTTAAAAATTATACTCATGGCCTGGCATGGTGGCTCATGCCGTAATTGCAGCACTATGGGAGGCTGAGGCAGGCGAACTGCTTGAGTCCAGGAGTTTGAGACCAGCCTGGGCAATATGGTGAAACCCATCTCTACAGGGGGAAAAAAAAATAGCCAGGAGTGGTGGTGCGTACCTGTGAAGATCCCAGCAGGATTCAAAAAAAAAAAAATCTCATATGTCAGGACTCTAATCCAAACCAATAAAATCTTCTGAGAAGTATTGCTGGGGCATCTATATGTTTTTAAAGAACCAGGAGATTACAATGTGTAGCCAAGGTTTGAGAATCCCTGCTTCATGACATGCAGCTGACAAATTATGATGGTATTTTTCACACTGTTAGATTTTGCAGCCACCTGCTGAGTGTAGTATGCTACTTGAATCATTTCCACCTCTACATGTCAATTCCTGGGCCTGGGAGTTTGGTAGGGAGGCTTATCAGGAGTTCCTTTGCAAGTGCAGGTGGGCAGTCCTGGGCTCTGTTAGTGACTGACAGTGTGATTTCAGTGACATTTTAAGCTGAGCTCCCCAAGCCGATTGTGCAATGGATAGCCCCCAGGAGGTGCCATAATGTTTACGTTCTCATCCTGGCATTTTTGTTTTGTGGAATCAGGCCTGTATTAGCAGGTGACCTATGAACAGTGCTTGTCTCCTCACTAGGTCATCTGGATCATCTTTTACACTGCCATTCATTATGACTGATGGTGTACAGCTCTCAACTGCTCCTATCCCAGTCCAAAGGATCCTCTTGATTACAGCACCCAGGAACTTGATCGTTGGGAACTAGCCCCTTGGGAACTTGGAAGACCCATGTTTCCTGGACCGTGAATCAGTGTATTGGGCATCAGTGTTTTCTGCAAGGGTTGTGACCTGGAAACTTTTAAACCACCCACCTTTGGAGAAGCATTTCTGAATTTATCCGTCACCAACCATTTCTTCTTGGATACCATCCAAATGTAGCTGTTTGCCAAGTGGAGCTGTCATTTAATTTGATGCACCTCTGGATTCAGATGAAACATTAAATTGTCTTCCTCGATTCTCCATCAGGTGTACAGTTTTTAAACTATCAGTGGCATTAAAATCTTCTGAAACAGCATGGCTATGTGCTATGTCCCATATATCATAGTACAGGGCAGCATCTAATAACAGTTTCCATTGTAGAATGTTTTCAGATACTTGAATAAATCAAATCTTTAATTGAGGGCCTGTTGATGATACACAAGTAAGCCTTCCCCCTGTAGCAGGAACCCAGTAAGACAGTGGTGGCCTCCCACTATCCCTCTTTCTTCCCTCTCATGCTCCCTTAGCAGATGCAGACCTCTTTCTCTTTATACAAGAGGCAGCAGGGAAATCAAGTGCTGGATTTGGTGTAGGCTGTGACCTCAGTCTTGGCATTGTGGAGAGAGGGCTTAGCACCTTCTGATGCTATGCCAGCACTGGGGTGCCTGGCCTCACTGCAGTGTGCTGGGCAGAATGTTATTTTGTATTTGGCACAAGATGGCAAGGCCAGTGTGCTAGGGAATGGTAAAGCCACAAAATGAAATAGAGATCTGAAAGCTAGGCTGGGTGCGGTCGCTTACACCTGTAATCCCAGCACTTTGGGAGGCAGAGGCGGGTGGATCACCTGAGGTCAGGAGTTGAAACCAGCCTGGATATGGTGAAACCCCATCTCTATTAAAAAATGAAAAAAATTAGCCAGTAGTGTGCCTGTAATCCCAGCTACTCTGGAGGCTGAGGCAGGAGAATCGTATGAATCCGGGAGGCCCGGAGGTTGCAGTGAGCTGAGATCAGCATTTGCACTCCAGCCTGGGCAACAGAGCAGACTCCGTCTCAGGAAAAAAAAAAGCTGGGGCTGTTGTCCTCAGTAGAGGGGACATTTGAGGGACTTAGACTGTCAGAAGTCTTTCTCTTTGCTCTGGAGGTCACGTAGAGGCTGGAGCACCTATGATCTGCTGCTACGGTAGACATCATCCTCCTCAGTTTCCTTTCCTTCTAGGCCACAGTCCTATCTTTTCTACAAGAATACGGTGGTGGTCTTAGCAGAGACTTAGCAAATTTCGAAAATGATTTTGTCACAGAAGATAGGGTTGTTTCTACCTTGTAGGTGGGGCCTGGTTAGCAGGAGGGATGTAGAACCACAGGGCTCAGCAGGCAGAGCATCAGATGGTACTAGAAACAAACTCCAAGAACTGACTGGGGTCAAGACCCCCAGGAAACACTCTCTTTTTGGAACCCTGGCTGTGTTCCCAGCTTCTCTGCATTTGGACTAGAGTCGCAGGTGGGATCATGGCACTGGGAAGGGTGGAGGCATTGCTTAGGGCCAAGAAAGGAAAACAAGGAGTAGGTGGGACCCTGGATGCACCTCTGTGTCCCAGCCCTCCCTCACACAGTGCATAAGCCTTGCCTCTGAGGTGTGGGTAGCTGCTGAATTTGAGGTTCCTAGGTGTGCAGTCTTGGTTTCCCTTTGGCCTCTCTTTTGACTCGGCATCATCAAAGAGACAGCCTCCTCATTCCCAGGCTGATGTAGGAGCTGGGGACTCCCGGGGCCTCACTGAGAAGAACTCTCCTCCCTGCTGGCAACTTCAGAAAACGGAGAGGCTGTGGACAAAGGAAGAGAATTGGGTCAAGGAGCCTATTCCTTCTCCCTGCACTCACTCCACACAAAAATGCACTGTTTTCAAAACCCCTCACTCCTGATGAGGACCTCGCCCAGGGCTCCTGTTCCGTATCAGATCAGCCTCCCCAGCCCCACCTGCCCGAGCTAGGCTGTGCTCCAGGAGTTAGTCCAGTGTGTGTGGCTCCAGCTGCCACTCCTGGGTTTACGCCATTCTCCTGCCTCAGCCTCCCGAGTAGCTGGGACTACAGGTGCCCGCCACCTCGCCCGGCTAGTTTTTTGTATTTTGTAGTAGAGACGGGGTTTCACCATGTTAGCCAGGATGGTCTCGATCTCCTGACCTCGTGATCTGCCCATCTCGGCCTCCCAAAGTGCTGGGATTACGGACTTGAGCCACCGCACCCGGCCCGTTTTTTTAAAAATTATACTCATGGCCTGGCATGGTGGCTCATGCCCGTAATTACAGCACTATAGGAGGCTGAGGCAGGCAGACTGCTTGAGTCCAGGAGTTTGAGACCAGCCTGGGCAATATGGTGAAACCCATCTCTACAGGGGGAAAAAAAAATAGCCAGGAGTGGTGGTGCGTACCTGTCGAATCCCAGCAGGATTCAAAAAAAAAAAAAATCTCATATGTCCGGACTCTAATCCAAACCAATAAAATCTTCTGAGAGGTATTGCTGGGGCATCTATATGTTTTTTAAAGAACCAGGAGATTACAATGTGTAGCCAAGGTTTGAGAATCCCTGCTTTGATATGCAGCTGACAAATTATGATGGTATTTTCACACTGGTAGTTGCAGCACCTGCTAGCAGTGTAGTATGCTTTACTTGAATCATTTCCACCTCTGTATGTCAATTCCCTGGGCCTGGGGTTGCCATTTGGTAGGGGAGGAGCTTATCAGGAGTTCCTTTGCAAGTGCAGGTGGGCAGTCCTGGGCTCTGTTAGTGACTGACAGTGTGATTTCAGTGACATTTTAACGTAGACTCCCCAAGCCGATTGTGCAATGGATAGCCCCAGGAGAGTGCCCTGTGTTTACATTCTCATCTGGCATTTTTGTTTTGTGGAATCAGGGCCTGTGTTAACCCAGGTGACCTATGAACAGTGCTTGTCTCCTCACTAGGTCATCTGGATCATCTTTTACACTGCCATTCATTATGACTGATGGTGTACAGCTCTCAACTGCTCCCTATCCAGTCCAAAGGATCCTCTTGATTACAGCACAGGAACTTGATCGTTGGGGAACCCCAGCCCCTTGGAACTTGGAAGACCCATGTTTCCTGGACCGTGAATCAGTGTATTGGGCATCAGTGTTTTCTGCAAGGGTTGTGACCTGAAACTTTTTAAAAACCACCCACCTTTGGAGAAGCATTTCTGAATTTATCCGTCACCAACCATTTCTTCTTGGATACCATCAAGTAACAGCTGTTTGCCAAGTGGAGCTGTCATTTAATTTGATGCACCTCTGGATTCAGATGAAACATTAAATTGTCTTCCTCGATTCTCCATCAGGTGTACAGTTTTTAAACTATCAGTGGCATTTAAAGTCTTCTGAAACAGCATGGCTGTATGTGTCCATATCATAGTACAGGCAGCATCTAATAACAGTTTCCATTGTAGAATGTTTTCAGATACTTGAATAAATCAAATCTTTAATTGAGAACCTGTTGATGATACCTGATAAAGCCTTTCCCCCCCACCTGTAGCTTGGGAACCCAGTAGGAACATTCGAGGTGGTACCTCCCACCCCTATCCCTCTTTCTTCCTCTCCATGCTCCCTTAGCAGATCTAGCAGACCTCTTTCTCTTTATGGGGGCAGCAGGGAAATCAAGTGCTGGATTTGGTGTAGGCTGTGACCTCAGTCTTGGCATTGTGGAGAGAGGGCTTAGCACCTTCTGATGCCCTTGCCCAGCACTGAGGTGCCTGGCCTCACTGCAGTGTGCTAGACTTAAGAGATGTTATTTTGTATTTGGCCACAAGATGGCAAGGCCAGTGTGCTAGGGAATGGTAAGCCACAAAATGAAATAGAGATCTGAAAGCTAGGCTGGGTGCGGTCGCTTACACCTGTAATCCCAGCACTTTGGGAGGCAGAGGCGGGTGGATCACCTGAGGTCAGGAGTTCGAAACCAGCCTGGACAACATGGTGAAACCCCATCTCTATTAAAAATAGAAAAAAATTAGCCAGGCGTGGTGTGCACCTGTAATCCCAGCTACTCTGGAGGCTGAGGCAGGAGAATCGTATGAATCCAGGAGACGGAGGTTGCAGTGAGCTGAGATCGCGCCATTGCACTCCAGCCTGGGCAACAGAGCAAGACTCCGTCTCAGGAAAAAAAAGCTGGGGCTGTTGTCCTCAATGGGGGACATTTGAGGACTTAGACTGTCAGAAGTCTTTCTCTTTGCTCTGGAGGTCACGTAGAGGCTGGAGCACCTATGATCTGCTGCTACGGTAAGACATCATCTCCTCAGTTTTCCTTTCCCTTCTAGGCCACAGTCCTATCTTCTGAGGTACGGTGGTGGTCTTAACGAGACTTGTAAATTTCCCGAAAATGATTTTGTCACAGAAGATAGGGGTTGTTTCTACCTTGTGGGTGGGGCCTGGTTAACGGAGGGATGTAGAACAGGGCTCAGCAGGCAGAGCATCCAGATGGTACTAGAAACAAACTCAAGAACTGACTAGGTCAGACCCCCAGGAGGCTTACTCTCTTTTTGGAACCCTGGCCCTGGTCCCAACTTCTCTGCATTTGGACTAGAGGTCGCAGGTGGGATCATGGCACTGGGAAGAGGTAGGTGACTTCTTAGGGCCAAGAAAGGAAAGAGCAAGGGTACAGGTGGGACCCTGGATGCACCTCTGTGTCCCAGCCCTCCCTCACTGAGTGCATAGCCTTGCCTCTGGGGTGCTCAGGTAGCTGGGCTGAATTGGGGTTCTAGGTGTGCAGTCTTGGTTTCCCTTTCGGCCTCTCTTTTGGGCCTAGGCATCATCCAAAGAGACAGCCTCCTCATTCAGGCTGATGTAGGAGCTGAGGGACTCCCGGAGACCCTCACTGAGAAGAGACTCCTCCCCTGTGGCAACTTCAGAAAACAGGAGGGAGCTGTGGACAAAGGAAGAGAATTGGGTCAAGGAGCCTATTCCTTCTCCCTGCACTCACTCCACACAAAAATGCACTGTTTTCAAAACCCCTCACTCCTGATGAGGACCTCATGGGGCTCCCTGTTCCGTATCAGATCAGCCTCCCCAGCCCCACCTGCCGAGCCTGGGCTGTGCTCCAGGAGTTGAGTCAGTGTGTGCTGGCTCCAGCTGCCAGGTGTCCCTGAGTGTGACAGGTACATTCGGGTTGTGGTTCCCGGGGTGGGTCCTTCTAACTCTTGGTCCTGCTTTCATGTTTCCAGGAGTCCCCGACTTTACCTGTCCAGCTCTTTCCAGTTGAGTGGTGTCCTCTGTACAGTCACAGGTAGGGGTGTATCCTTGCTAGGGAACGGGCCAGCCCTCTGCAGGACACAGGGCTCCTTGAGGAGGCAGCAGATGTCATCCGCCAGCTCTGAGGAAGAGACCTCCATCCCTGATATGGCTGACTCCACCCTACTTCTCCCCAACAGCCCTCATCCTGACAGCCCTCCACACTTGGCAGGAGGGGGCATGGTTACAAAAGAGTGACAGGACATGAGCCCCAAGCTGTTGGTTTCATGGAGACAGATGGAGTCAAAGGTCTTCCTGGGCTAACTTTTGGGAGACAATCGCTGTATGATTTAGGGTGAGTTCATGGACCTCTTGAGCTCAAGTTTCTGGTTAGGAAATTTCTTTGGGAAGAAGAAAGCTAAGGAATGCTCAGTCTACTTCTACTATCTACTCCCGCATGGAATGACCTGCAGAAAACCCCTGAGTTTTCACGAGAGTGTTCTTCCCTCTCTGCGCCCTGACGCTGTGCCCAGTGACTGCATCTTCCAGTGTCTGTTGAAGGACTGGCATCAGGAAGTACTAAGGAGAGTCAGGATTGAATCCCACACAGCAGCAGCTCTGGGTCCGGTTCCTGTGGAGAGAACTCCACCTGCTGCCAGGGGCTTTGAATCAGAACCAGAGTGGTAGGCAAGGTACTGACTGGAGCCTACACCGGAGGTATGTGGCTTTTCTGCTAGGGCACGAGGTGAAGACAAGGCTCCCAGCCTGCATTTCTTGGCATGGGGACTGGTGTGAAAATAGGGGAGGCCTCTCTTCTGTCTGTCTGAATACTCCATAGCAGGTAAAATATCCGAGGACACCACTGCCTGCTCCTCCCTGCAGACTCTCCCAGCCTACTCCTGGGGGCAGGGAAAGGCCATACCAGAGTAATGGTCCACCAGGGCCTGGAGTGAGGGGAAGGTGAGGCGCGGTGAGATGTACAGCCAGCCATTGTCAAGGCGCTGGATCCTGTAGTGTCTGATTCGGTCCCAGGATGCAGGGCGGCTGAGGCGGACTGACAGGGAGTAAGAGCCTGAGGAGAAAGGGGTCCGGGGTGGCGCTGAGCCCCTGCTGGGACTCAGCCCCACCTAGGTTGGGAAACGAAGATAGGCAACATGGCCATGGGGCCCCGGCAGAAGGGAAGTGTCTTGGGCAGAAGCAGGACAAAGACTTGCTCTCTTGGTCATCAATAGCATGTTCATAATAGATGGGGGTCTTGTGAGGGTGAAATCAAATCACACACAGAGCCCTCAGTACAGGGTCTGGCACCATGTGAATGAACATTCAGCGTTGGCTGTTCTTACAAAGACTCAGGTGGCAGATGTATTAGGATGCAAAAACACTGTCAAGAAGATGCTGGCAAGGAAGTGGAGAAGTAGGACGTCCCACCCTGCTGGTGGAAGAGAAATTAGTACAAGCCACCTTGGAAATAGTTTGGCATTAACTAGATGAGCTGAACATGCACGGACCTTACAACCCAGCAGTTCAACCCAGGCACATTACCTCAGAAGCACACAGGCAAGAATATGCACAGCAGCATTGTTTGTAAACGTCAAAAACGGGCCAGGTGTGGTGGCTCACGCCTGTAATCCCAGCACTTAGGGAGCCTAAGTGGATCACAAGGTCAGGAGATTGAGACCATCCTGGCTAACACGGTGAAACCCTGTCTCTATGAAAAATACAAAAAATTAGCCAGGCGTGGTGGCGGGCGCCTGTAGTCCCAGCTACTCGGGAGGATGAAGCCGGAGAATGGCATGAACCCGGGAGGCGGAGCTTGCAGCAAGCCGAGATCGCACCACTGCACTCCAGCCTGGGCGACAGAGGGAGACTCCGTCTCAAAAAAAAAAAAAAAAAAAAAAAGTCAAAAACTGCAAACAACCCATTTATGCTCAAGAGTAGAACTGTGGATTATAGAGTGTAGTACTATACAGCAGTTAAAATTAATAACTGCTACATATATAGGCATAAGGAAATCTTGGAAATAAGCAGAAAAACATTACAGAGCATACATTCAGCCTGATTCTATTTAAAGTTCAAAGACAGCCAACTGACATTATCTGTTGCACAGGCACACATGGCAAAGCTCTGAAGAAAAGCAACTGTATGATTAACACAGTGAAGCATGAGAGGGGGCTGCGAAAGGCTTGTTAGGTAATTTCAGCTGGCAAGTAGGCACATGGATGTCAGTTTTATTACTGCTCCTCAACCTGTATGTATACATTACGTACACTGATGCATGTGACAGAGTTTTGACAGTTTTGCATGTTTCATTTTTTCATTTTTTATTTTTGTGTGTGTGGAGACAAGAGTCTCCTGTCGCCCAGGCTGGAGTGCAGTGGCACAATCTCGGCTCACTGCAACCTCTGCCTCCCAGGTTGAAGCAATTCTCCTGCCTCAGCCTCCCGAGTAGCTGGGACTACAGGCGCCCGCCACCATGCCCAGCTAATTTTTTATGTTTTTAGTAGTGACGGGGTTTCACCATATTTGCCAGGCTGGTCTGGAACTCCTGACCTTGTGATCCACCTGCCTCGAGATTACAGGTGTGAGCCACTGCGCCCAGCCAGATTTTAATTTATTTTTAAGCCATGCTCCCGCTCTCTTGCCTGGATGGCGTGCAGTGGCATGATGACAGCTCCCGGGCTCAAACAATCCAACTGCCTCAGCCTCCTGAGTAGCTGGGATTACAGGCGTGAGCCACCGTGTCTGGCCATATAAGCACATTTAAAATACTGAAACAGGCTGGGCACGGTGGCTCACCCCAGTAATCTCAGTTCAAGACCAGCCTGGCCAACGTGGTGAACCCCGTCTCTACTAAAATACCAAAGATAGCTGGGTGTGGTGGCACACACCTGTAGTCCCAGCTACTCGGAAGGCTGAGGCAGGAGAATCACTTGAACCCAGGACGTCGAGGTTGCAGTGAGCTGAGATGGTGCCACTGCACTCCAGCCTTGGCAACAGAGCAAGACTCCATCTCAAATAAATAAATAAATAAACAAACAAACCAAGGCCAGTGACAGGCATGGTGGCTCACGCCTGTAATCCCAACAGTTTGGGAGGTCGAGGTGGGCAGATCACCTGAGGTCAGGAGTTTGAGAACAGCCTGGTCAACATGGTGAAACCGTGTCTCTACTAAAAATACAAAAAAAAAAAAAAAAAAAAAAAAAAAAATTAGCCAGGTGTGGTGGTGTGCACCTGTAGTCCCAGTTACTTGGGAGGCTGAGGCAGGAGAATTGCTTGAACCCGGGAGACAGAGGTTGCAGTGAGCCGAGATCGCACCACTGCACTTCAGCCTGGGCAACACAGCAAGACTCCCTCTCAATAAAAAAAAAAAAAAAAGGCCGGACGCGGTGGCTCATGCCTGTAATCCCAGCACTTTGGGAGGCTGAAGTGGGCGGATCACAAGGTCAGGAGATCGAGACCATCCTGGCTAACACGGTGAAACCCCGTCTCCACTAAAAATTCAAAAAATTAACCAGGCGTGGTGGTGGGCGCCTATAGTCCCAGGTGCTGGGAGGTTGAGGCAGGAGAATGGCATGAACCCAGGAGGCGGAGCTTGCAGTGAGCCAGGATCATGCCACTGCACTCCAGCCTGGGTGAGAGAGCAAGACTCCGTCTCTAAATAAATAAATAAATAAAAATAATAAAATAAATAAAATAAAAACAAGGCCAGGCAGGCAGAGTGGCTCAAGCCTGTAGTCCCAGCTACTCAGAAGGCTGAGGCAGGGGGATCAATGAGCCCGGGAGGCAAAGGTCGCAGTGAGCCAAGATTGTGTCATCCAGTCTGGATGACAGAGTGAGACCCTGTCTCAAAAAAAAATAAAAATAAAGGCCCAGCACTTTGGGAGGTCGAGATGGGAGGATCACCAGGTCAGGAGATCGAGACCATCCTGGCTAACACGGTGAAACCCCATCTCTACTAAAAAATACAAAAAACTAGCCGGGCGAGGTGGCGGGCGCCTGTAGTCCCAGCTACTCCGAAGGTTGAGGCAGGAGAATGGCGCAAACCTGGGGGGCAGAGCTTGCAGTAAGCTGAGATCCGGCCACTGCACTCCAGCCTGGGCAACAGAGCGAGACTCCGTCTCAGAAAAAAAATAATAATAATAAAATAAAAATTAAAATTAAAATTAAAAATTAAAGGCTAAATGTAAAAAGATGGAAAAAAATATTCAGACAACCATAAGTAAGCTAGAATGGCTTATTAATGGGAGAATATTAGTGGGATATTAATATCAGACAGCAGAATTCAAAAACGAGAGTATTACCAGCAATAAAGGTACACATCAAGAAGACAAAAAGTCCTTAATTACACAGTTTCAAAATAAATGAAACCTAACAATTGCCTAGAGAAATAGACATCCATGAATGGAGATTTTAATCCTCTTCAGTAATAAGACAAAAACAATAGGGATATAGAAGACTTGAATAATGCAATCAACCAATTTGATTTGACATAAAACATGGCACCCAGAGACAGCAATACATATTTTCTTTCAAGCACACCTGGACTACTCTAGATGGATTCGTTTGGGTGGTAACAAAATTTTGTTTTTTGTTAAAAAAACTGATGCCCAGACTGGAGTGCATTGGCGTGATCTCAGCTCACCACAACCTCCACCTCCCGAGTTCAAGCAATTCTCCTGCCTCAGCCTCCCAAGTAACTGGGACTACAGGCACATGCCACCATGCCCGACTTTTTTTTTCAGTAGAGGCGAGGTTTCACTATGTTGGCCAGGTTGGCCTTGAACTCCTGACCTCGTGATCCGCCCACCTCAGCCTCTCAAAGTGCTGGGATTACAGCCTTGAGCCACCGCACCCGACCAACAATTTAAAAGGATTTAAATCATTAAAAATATGTTGTCTGGCCACAATTGAATTAAATTAGAAATTAATAATGAAAATGTATCAGGCCGGGCGCGGTGGCTGGCCGGGCGCGGTGGCTCACGCCTGTAATCCTAGCACTTTGGGAGGCCGAGGCGGGCGGATCACGAGGTCAGGAGATCAGACCATCCTGGCTAACACGGTGAAACCCCGTCTCTACTGAAAATACAAAAAATTAGCCGGGCGAGATGGCGGATGCCTGTAGTTCCAGCTACTCGGGAGGCTGAGGCAGGAGAATGGCGAGAACCCGGGAGGCGGAGCTTGCAGGGAGCCAAGATCGCGCCACTGCACTCCAGCCTGGGCGACAGAGCAAGACTCCGTCTCAAAAAAAAAAAAAAAAAAAAAAAGAAAATGTATCTAGGCTGGGCGTGGGGCTCAAGCCTGTAATTCCAGCACTTTAGGAGGCTGAGGCAGGTGGACAACCTTAGGTCAGGAGTTCAAGACCAGCCTGACCAACAAGGTAAAACCGCGTCTCTACTAAAAATATAAAATTAGCTGGGTATGGTGGCACATGCCTGTAAATCCCAGCTACTTGGGAGACTGAGGCAGGAGAATTGCTTGAACCTGGGAGGCGGAGGTTGCAGTGAGTCAAGATCATGCCACTGCACTCCAGTCTGGGAGACAGAGCAAGATTCCACCTCAATAAAAAATAAATAAAAACAACGCTGGGCGTGGTGGCTCATGCCTGTAATCCGAGTACTTTGGGAGGCTGAGGTGGGCAAATCACGAGGTCAGGAGTTCAAGACCAGCCTGGCTAACATGGTGAAACCCCGTCTCTACTAAAAATACAAAAATTAGCTGGGCGTGGTGGTGGGCGCCTGTAATCCCAGCTACTCAGGAAGCTGAGGCAGGAGAATCATTTGAACCTGGGAGGCAGAAGTTGCGGAAAGCCAAGATCTCGCCACTGCACTCCAGCTTGGGCAACAGAGCGAGACTCCATCTCAAAAAAAATAAATAAAATAAAGAAGATACAGAAGAATATAATTTGAGAGACATTTGAAAAGTATGGCAAGATTAAAACCATAGAAGTTATGGAAGACAGGCAGAGTGGAAAAAAGGATTTGCTTTTGTAACTTTTGATAAGGAAGATACAGTT